CCTCCCCCCCCCCCAGGAAGGGCATGGGGTCCAGCCAGAGTCCATCCCAGTGGGCAAGAGCGAGGGCAGACCCCAGCACCACAGCACGGGGACTGCTGCCTGCTCCCAGCCTGGGCAGCACCATCCCCCCACCACATGCACCCAGCCAGGACCCCAGATTAGGGGGCTCTCAGCAAGTCCCCAGTTTGGGCGGGCTTCCATCCATGTGCTAATGGGGCTGGTGCCTGCTCCTCCTGCACAGCCAGGCAGGATGCGGCCCCAGGGTGGTTGATGTCTCAGGGATTCTCAGTAGAGTCCAGCTGGCAGGATGGCGAGTTCCCTAACCCATCCCTATCCCTATCCCTATCACCATCCTCATTCCCAAGGCCATTCTATCCCAATCCCCACCTCTATCCCATTCCATCCCATCCCTCTCTCATCCCCATCCCCATCTCTATTCTATTCCCATCCCACCCCATTCCATCTCCCCTCTCCCTACCAAGGCCCTGGCTCCCCGGTTCCTCACCGAGGTAGACGAGCATGTTCTCCATGGACATCTGCTTCTTCACCACCAGGTAACTTTCCGTGCCCAGGCAGTGCAATATGGGCAGGACTTTTTCAGAGTAGTGCAGGGGTCGTTCTGTGGGGCAGTGAGACAGGCAGGGGTCAGGCAGAACCACCCACCAAGACGGGCTCACACCCACGTCCTGAGGATCTTCCAAGGTCCTGCCTGTCCCTGAGCAGACCTTCCAACCAGCACCATCGCCTTGTGATGGATTCACTTCACCCTGTTCCTGCTTCCTAACGTCCCATGGGGAGGTGACTTGGCCCACGGGTGGCAGGGATCTGCAGGGCCTGGGAGGTGGCTGAGGAATGATCACCAGCTCATGTTGTGTTTGCAGAACATCCACATTTTGAAGGAGTACGTGGTCTGCACACATGCTGGCAAAAACAGGCTTGGAGGTATTTCAAACACGCCCGTTTCCATGGAAGCAAAGGGAGAGTCGAGGATTCCAGCCGAGTTCACAGGTGAATAGGCAACTCTGGGCTAGTTTTAACCCCTGCCCAGCCTGAGGAGCATAGAATTAGATATCATGGAATGGTTTGGGTTGAAGGGACCTTTGAAGGTCATCTAGTCCAACTCCCCTGCAGGGAGCAGGGACATTCCCAACTAGAGCAGGTTGCTCAGAGCCCCGGCAAATCTCACCTGGAATGGTTCCAGGGATGGGGCAGCGACCACCTCTCAAGGCAACCTGCAACAGGGGCTCACCACCCTCAGCATCAAAAAAATTTCCTCCTTCTATCTGGCCTAGATCTCCCTCTTTTAGTTTCAAACCATCCCCCCTTGTTATGTCCCAGCAGGCACTGCTGAAAAGTCCCTCCCCAGCTTTCTGACAGGCCGCTGGAAGTCCTGGCAGGCCCCCAGAAGGTCTCCCCCGCTGGGGCCTTCTCCTCTGCAGGATGCCCACG